AAGCAAAATACTTAATCGATTCAAGTATACTACTTCAGTAAAAACATTCACGATCAAATGTGGCATACAATATCTACAATTAGAAGGAGCATGATATTGATTACAAAGAGGGAGAATATTATGGAATTGATACACACCGAGGTTCACCTTTAATACAGACATCTACAACGTCCATTTATTACAGTGAATTCATGCATTTGCTGGCAAACCGCACATAGCACAATCCGGTCGCTGTTCGTTGTTTTCGAAAGTGCAGTGTTTGCAAGACCATGTGGTTGCTGATGCTGCTGCGTGACCTTGAATACAGATGTTATTTGATCCTATAGAGATGCTTTACTTGCTTTAATACATTCTTGTACTCTGCAACAATATCAGTTTTTGCCTGACTCAGTTCTGTCTCTGACAGCACAATTGAAACAAGTGGTTCAGTGTTAACTTCCATCAAATACTGTTTACCACATTATTTAAGCAATGTAGAAATAACAAGAAGCGGTGCCACGCCTATGAGGTATAGTTCAAAAAATATGCCGTAAATCCGACTGATCGCACTAAGCTTGAACAGCGCTCGAGGTCGCGTTGTTAAGGGGATATGGTCTTTTCTCCACATCGGTACAATCTTATCGCTTAACTGCACAAGACAATGGCTCCCGAAAAGGCAACGTTCCGAGATAACAACGCGAAGTGAGTGTTCGGAGACCATGCGCTTTCGGTGTCTAACGTGCAGTCACATTACTGGGCAACAAAATGTAAACAGTGAAAATACCCACTTACTATTATATTAAATTACCATAAAACTGATGTTTTGGTGCTATTGCGAATACAGACATAAAGCAAAGGAGATTTGAAAAACTTACTATGACCTTGCTCATGAGACAGAGCCACCAACTGTTGCCAATCGAGTGTTTCTCGCGCCCATTCGATGGCCATTTCTCGATTTTGCGTAGAGACAGCAAAGCACAGTTTCTTGAAAACACACAGTTACTATTATCATGAATTCAACCAGAGAGAAAAAGCATATATCAAAAAGGTGATCACTTACATGCATTTCGGCCTCACTGAACTGCACAAGATGGTTTGTCATTAGATAAAGAAGGAAGTGGAAGTTTGTCGCTTGCTCGAGAAATTCGTTCAGAGAATATTCCGCACAGTAGGTACTCAAATTTGTTCCACCCTAGTTAGTTTCATTTTTTTCAGTTTAAAAAAATTCATCATAAGATGATGATATAATTGAAGATAGAATAATCACGAAATACCTGAAGTTCTGCCATTGCTTCCCTATTTTCAATAGCAAAGCGTGCGCTTCTTGGAGGAGTGAAGGTATATTGCGGCTCTTTTGGCATTCCAGTAGGTACGTCAACCTTACAAGATGCTATCAATGCACAAGCGCTTCATGAAAGAGAGACCAATGATGATAGCTAGATCAACGTAGACCCACCAGTAAGAACTCGACTGGCAAGGGACGTCCATCTTTTAGAACTTCGGCACCATACTGGTTCTTTTCCTAAAATGATGATACATACAACCTACCATACCAATTACATTCCAGACACAACGTAAACTTTGCTGCTATGCTTACCGTATACTGCACATCTGTCAAGTACTGCGTTTCCGTCAAAGGTTTGTCTCGTATGTAAGCCAGCTCAGGATGATTCGTAGGGCAGAGAAGTTCCGCTTCAACCAATGCAGTACATTGATTTGACACCTA